TTAGGTAAGCCAGTCCTTTATTAGTATAAAAGTGCTTCGTTAATAGTTCTAACGCTCGAAGTGGAGTCGAAAGAGATGAGTTTTCAGTTTGCGCCGGAAGATGTGCAAGCTATCTGCCGTCCTGATGTCAATGGGGAGCTCATTCCACCATCTTGGAGCCAGGATAGCAAACCCACGTGTTTTTGCTGATGGGAACTTGGGTCCCCCTCGCAGCGAGGGCGCAGCGAGCCGTTTGTTGATGCAGAGCGTAGTGCACGCGCTGGGGTGTACGGTTTAACCATGTCCTGGATGTAGGAAGGGCCAGATCCATTGCAGCATGGTAAGCAAGTACCAGTGTCTTGAAGTGGATTCTAGCAGTTACCGGAAGCCAGTGAAGGGAGCGGAGGAGCGGAGTGGTGTGGGAGAATTTAGGAAGGTTGAAGACCAGACGAGCCGCTGCATTCTGGGTGAGCTGCAGAGGTCGGATGGCACATGCAGGTAGACCAGCCAGGAGGGAGTTGCAGTAGTCTAGGCGTGAGATGACGAGAGCCTGGACCAGAACTGAGTCGCTTTCTGAGTCAGCTGGGGACGCATCCTCCTGATGTTGTAAAGCGTGTATCTGCAGCACGGGTTGTAGCAGCGATGTTTGCAGTGAAGGACAGGTTGTTATCTAGGATCACACCCAGATTCCTTGCAGTCTGAGTCGGGGAAACAACAGAGGTGCCGATGTTGATGTCAGGTCAAGAGTGGGACAATCTTTTCCCGGAAGGAAGAGCAGCTCAGTCTTGTCAAGGTTGAGCTTGAGGTGATGAGCAGACATCCACTGAGAGATGTCAGCTAGACAAGCAGAGATGCATGCGACGACCTGGGTCTCTGAGCGGGGAAAGGACAGAATTAATTGGGTGTCGTCAGCGTAGCAGTGGTAAGAAAAACCATGCGGGCTAATGACTGATCCGAGCGAGTTTGTGTACAGGGAGAAGAGGAGGGGACCATAACATAAATGTTTATGCTCATGAAAGTATCACAACAAAGATTGTCAATCACAAATGTAATTTAGATTAAAGAAAAAATATCTTCAACAAAAAAAAAGTCCATCATCTGTCATCACCTTTCAAAGTAATTGCGGACAATAGAAGTCTCTGTAATGTGTTCTGTTGTCTTCCTTGTATTATTTTTTATGTCCACTAGATGGCGATCGGTAGGATTAAAGCACTGATATTCAGGATCTAGTCATCTTGAAAAATCGTAATCTGGATCAGGCTGATCCTATCCTGAATTGCTTTGAACTCCAGGGACAAAATCTGGCCGACTTGTCTGATCCTGGATCACAAAAAATGGGATTTCAAAATCTGATCTGATTGAGATTAAAAGTTTTGAACTCCTGGGCCCTGTAGATTTGATAAATAATCCTCCATCTTTGGGATTACAGCATAATTGTGTTTTGTTTTCCTAAATTCATGGCAGAATATATTTAGTTAGAGAACTGTACATCATATCTTTAATTTTCATCTTTGTGAAATACAGTCCATGTAAGCATAAACTAACACCATCATCATTCTGTCCTCCCTCTGTCTTCCTACAGGGGATCCATCGACTGTATCCAGCTCAAACGAGGAGCACATGGTTTCAGGAGCTGACGACGGGTAAGGCAGCCGCAGCTTTCACAGTCGTATCGTATACAATGCTGTTTTTGATCTGTGTTAACAGATGTATTCATGTTTCTCTTCTGTGTCCTTTCATTTCATTGTCTACACGGCCTCAGCTCTGTGGGTCTGTGGAGTGTCAACAAGAAGAGGCCTCTCAGCACAGTAAAGCAGGCTCACGGTCGCCATGGTGAAGCGGGGCTGCAGCAGGCTCATTGGGTCTCTTCGGTGGCGGCGCTTCAGAACTCAGATACCGTCGCCTCAGGTGCCTCCGGCTGTGAGAGTCCTCCTCACCAGCTTTTTATTCTCACACATATATACACCCACTCAACTGTGCTGGATGCTTTTTAATGAAACAGTTAAACAACAGTTTTTTGTTAAATGAATTCAAATAATGTATGACTAATTGTCGTACACTTTTGTCGTATTATTATTATTATTAATAATGTGCTATGATAACGTGCAATTACTTATCTGCCACTACGGTTTTTTTTTGCACCACTAAATACTGGTAATATTTTACATTAATGATGTTTCCTGTAGATATTCAACTGCTCTTTTTTACTGCACTTTTAGTGTACATTTGTACTATTATGCTGCTGTGTTTATTGTATTTTTGTAACTGGCACAACATTTCCTTCGGGATAAATAAAGTACACGCATAATTAGAACAGTTGATGCTAGTATGTGTGTCTTTAGCCGCACATTAGACGTTCTGCTGTCTGTATTGATGTAATATTCTCTGTGCAGGCTCTCACAACTCGGAGGTGAAGCTGTGGAAGTGTGGCCAGAATTACCGTAAACTGGAGCCTCTGTTCAGTGTACCAGTGGTGAGCTTCTTTATCTTTTTTAAAAGCGTCACATTTTCTCAAGATGTGTTTTCAGCCAATTATAAACATTATTCTCACTGCATTCCTGCATTCTGTCTCAAATATCTCATCGTGTCTCTCCCTCTGCTTTCTGTCGCAGTGTGGTTTTGTCAACAGTCTGAAGTTTTCCAGCTCCGGTCAGTTCTTGGTGGCAGGAGTCGGACAGGAGCACAGGTAACTGAACTAATGATCATGTAACCATAGAAACAGTAGGTAGAGGTCCTATCAGCTGTCAGAGTGGGTTTATGTCCAGGGAATGAAATGTCCACCAGATGACAGTGTTAATCCATCTCTCTGCCTGTCAGGGGGAAACCACACTTTACTTTGATTGTTCTTTCAATGCAGCCTCAGTTGTTTCCAATTCTCTTGAAAGATAGGATCCTAGCCTCAGATGGCATTAGTGGATTGAAAGAAACTACAGAACAGTATTTTACAATGGGAAATGTAACGGTGGATTTCTAGTATTCGTGACTACACTGTCAAATTAAAACAACACACAAATACTTGGATTATAATTGAATTAGCAGAAGTTGTTGTTGCTTTGCCAGTAACTGTTAAAACTGTAATGAGGGTTTTTATCTAAAGTTAATAAAGCACTCTGAATACAGTCAGTGCTTACTGTCTGAACTAACCCTGAAGGCTAATGTAACTCCAGTCAATGTCTGAGTGCGATGTTGATTCACTTTTCACAAAGGTTTGAGGCACAACTGTTCTTTGTGGGTGGATCAGTGTGTCACATAATTATATTTGCATTACAATCTAAAAACAACAAAAGAAAAGTCGATTGTCTTTATCCTCTTCTGTTTCAGATTTTGTTTCTATAGCTCTCTGGATAATGTGCTCTGCTGGTATCTGTCACCTGTGATTTAACTTTGGTTTGTTTGTTCTGCAGGTTGGGCCGATGGTGGAGATTAAAAGAGGCCAAGAATGGGATCTATATTATTCCTCTCAAAAGGAAACCAACTCCAAGTCCAGAGGAAGTTAAGATAGCTGAATAGTGGACTGTTCAGTGACTTTTATTTTGTAAATTAAAGGTTAAAAAGCTGACTGTTTTGTACATCCTCCTTGAGAAAGAAAACCCAACATTTTGAAGACGACCCTGATCGTTTATACAGGTGTTTGCTGTTGGTTTGTATCTTAGTTTTGGGAGGAGCTTTAACAGCATTAGTGAAGCTGGACAACACCCACCGCAGCCAGCCAGTTCACCGTGCTGCCATCGTGCACGAGATACAGAAGACCCCCCCCGCGTACCACCGGACTACAGAGCAGCCTCTCTCCTCCGGCTGTGACAAATGAGAGGTTTTTTGTCTTTTTTCTTAGTTAGTTACATGTAACTTCCCCTTGTGGCACAATCCTGTGTTATACATGAAAATAAATAATCACTTGTATCCTTGTAAACTATTGTTGTTTTCTTAAAGGATTCAGGCAGGGTTCGCTGAGTCACGATCGTTACCAAAGTGAGAAAAATGTGTATTCTAGGCATCAGCACATCCAGGACTAAACATTTCATCCTCCTTGTTTTGTACTTTTCAGAATTCTGCTTTAATTCTATCCAATTGTGTGCCGGAAAATTCAACATAATTGTTCTGTATCATTAGGGGATGGGTTAAGTGCCTACATTGTCATGGTAACTGCTTATCTGTGGGTTATTGTCAACCTGTTGAAGCAACATTAAATTACAATTAACTCTACAGGCGAAAGACTTATCTCTGTTGGTAGAAGACCTACGGAATAAATTAAATGTTGCAAAATGTCATTGTGAGAGAACATTCAAGGGTAATGCAACAAAAGGTTTTAGAATTACACCAAATAGGGTGGCTTGAAATATTTGAATGTAACCATCAATAAGATTGACAGTGGCAAAAGTGCGCTGAAACCCTAAATAATGGTCACATAATAATACATTTATTTTGGGGGGTGCCTTTCATAACACCCAAGGACACCTTACAGGGCATAGGGGCAATATAGGGGAACAATTAATACAGGTGGGTTAGTGTTGAGCATAAGTATTATATTGAGAAGCTTTTTTTGAGGTTCTGCAGGTGTCCTCTCCGGCCCCCTCTGCGTTTCACTTGCACAATTCCTTATCAGCCTGCTGGTAACATATCCAAATTGAATTGTGTGTGCCTAATTGTAATCCGACCATTCTTTCTACCATGTTGTTTCTACCCACTGTTGAAGTACTTTTGACCTTGAATTGTTTTTTGGATCTGCTGCAGGAATGCTTAATGTTTTATTAACCTATGGAAACAGACAAGGCAGACAGTGGGCAGGTTGTTAATACATGGGTATTTACAATTTAATATCAGGTTACTACTCCAATATGTATAAAAAAGATGCAAAAGTCCAGCTTGGGTGAATACATTTTAATAGGCACTGTAACATGTATAATTGCACATACTTAACTAGTAGTTACACCAATAGTTATAGCTTTGACATCAAGAGCACCAAATACAAGTCTTGGTAACAACGGAATTAGAAATCATGCTGCTTCTCCTATTTAGGCGGGAAATGGTCACTCAAACTTAACATCTTCAGTTTTATTTTACTTGGGGTCAAAATAAAGTAAGCAATACTTTGTTGGTTCAACTAAAGATATTTAAAAAAAGGTTTATGTGTTTTTCAAGATGAAACAACAATCGAACCCATGTGTAGCCTACTCAAGCTGTTATCGTCTCTGAATAGCTGCATTTAGTTATAATATAATTGCAATTGTGAATGCATACAAAGCAGTATTTATTTGTTTAATGTAAAAGAAAAACTATTTTATTTACATAAATTACAGGAAAGCAAACACTAATCTACATCAACACACATCCTTTATGTTCTCTAGTTGCCTAACTCGTTCACATTCACTAAGGTTAGTCACATATTTTGTGGAACAGAAGGGCTACATTTATTTTCATAAGCAATTTTTATCAATGTCTACAACATTTGGATATACTCACAGCACTGTAAGGACGAGATAAGAATAGCCTTTTGTTTGTATAACACTATTGCTTCACAAGCACCCATTTGACAACAAGACTCTTTAGGACAAGGCACGGTGCATTTCGTCTATCTGTAAAACAAGGATATCACAGCATATTAAAATCTATACAAAAAGGCTTTACAAATGATACTATACTGCGCGCTGTAGAAACATCACTTTCACAGTAAAGAGTTACCCTTGCCGCTGGTCAGTCAGTCTACCCCAGACAGAACTATCTCTCTGCAGCATGTTGGATGGCATGGGGGCTCCGTCATACACCGCCCTGTTTCATGGAGGGATGAGTGATGATGGGATGGTGTCTTGTGCTTAGAGGGAAACCTTCTTTTTTTTTTTTACAAAGAGGACGTTGTAGAATCCACAACCTCGCGGCCGTTACAGACTGCTGGCACATAGTTAGAGGCTGATCCTGGGAGAGGAAAAACAACATTAGATAGATTAGATTAGTTTTATTTCCATTTACCCTAAATACTTCCTCCTCCTCTGGCTGAGTCTAAATCATTAAATTAAACATTAATTACAGATGACTTCAATGTCATTAGTCCAGGTGAAGGAATAACAGGAAAAATAGCATCATGTCTTTACATTCACAGTTGTTTAAACTAAAACTGTTAAAAAAAAAGTTATAATAAGTGGAACAATTTATATGTTCCGTTTATTTGTGCAGTCTGTGCTGTGAATGGTCGTCATTAGACGTTATTTAATGAGTTTTAGATAAGAGTTTCTATTATCCAACATGAAAATAATTGTAATGACTGGATTTAAATGCTGGGCCACGCTGATGCAAAACCAAAATATCTTTAAAAAAGGTGTAATATTGTATAAACATTGTCTAAATGACGGTGGTCTATTATGATGGTGTTATTGCAAGTGTTGCATTTAGGTCAGGTTGTCGATTTTTCCTTGATTGTATTGTTATGACTTCAAATTTGTGATGTAGATCCAGTCAGTAACCTTCATTAACACAGTTGCCTGTGTGCCGGTGTTTGCCCAATGTTTCCAATACTAGATAGAGCACTAAGTGGCAGATACTGTGGATACTTGTACCTTTAGAGTAGCTGGAGCTGGGAGCGGATGCAGTCGCTGACACTGTGGCACTGAAGCGGTTGGTTGTGACTCTCAGAGAGGTCACATTTTTCTGGGGCTGGAACAGGATGATGTGAACTTTGGGGGCAAAGAGGCAGCCGAGAACCACCGAGCCGCTCAGACTGACGGAGATGCACATGGTGGTGGTCTGCACCTGTGAGGAGAAAGATAGTGGGTGATGATAATATAATCAGTCGGCCCCATGGAGATCCTCCTTTTGGCTTCAAAGGGACTAATGAAGTTTGTTCAAAGCCCCTGGCACTCCTCACTTCCACCCACACAATACTTGTATGCATACACGCCACATACTTGCATCATATGTCAGATCATGTGCTTTAACTTTAGGACACTTTTAATTAGATGTATTTAGAGGATTCATCCTAAATGTAATCTTTAATTGGCCTTATCATGCAGGCATACCAAAATCCAAAGTCTTCCAAGTCTGTTTCAGGCTATATTCAAGTGGTATTATGTGTGTGGAAGTTTTCAGTTATAAATGTTAGCAATTCTAATAGTGTATCTGTATGTGCATGAATATGAGGCTAGAAGAAGAATAAGGCACGAATAACAGCACAGCTGGCTGTCCTGGAAAGTCAGGGCCTTGTTAGTCATATTTCAGCTGCTAATGTGAGCTGACTGCTGGGTCATCTTCCAGAGCTGCATCTCTTCCCACCCCCACTGGTTACCCCTGCAGTCCAGGAACTTCTATTTGCAGAACCACAGCATGAAGTGGAAATCCATCCTAAACATAACCGTGCAACAACAACACTGCAGAAATATGCAAAGTCCTCATAAATCTAAACTCTAGACTACAAAAACAACTGGTGAAAAAACCCATCAAGGTTGCAGGCAATAATACTTTCACTTGTCTTTTGTCCGCAGCTCCTTATCTCTTACAGCATTGAAACTGTTTCCATTTAAATGAGGTTTAAATTGTTAACATAGGTCAGGAGCATAGCCACGCCTAAAACTCCGCCTCGAACCACGGCCACCCCTATTTATATCCGGCAAAACTTCCGGCCACTGCTTGTCTCCATCCTTTCAACTCACCCTCCCTCTCCCTTCTACCCATACAGTTCCCCTTCCGACGCACACCGAGCGATACATCCATCCATCCCTTCTTCCCTCCCTCAACATTCCCCTACAGCCCCCCATCCCTCCATCCCTCATCCCTCATCCTACATCCCTCATCCCTACATCCCTCATCCCGGCAGCCCAACATCCCTTCAGCCCAACATCCCTCATCCCTACATCCCGATCCCATCCCTACATGCCCTGCAGCCCGCTATCCCGACACCCCTGCAGCCAACAGCCCTACATCCCTCATCCCTACATCCCTCATCCCTACATCCCTTCATCCCCACATCCCTTCATCCCTACATCCCTCATCCCTACATCCCTCATCCCTCATCCCTACATCCTTCATCCCCACATCCCTCATCCCTACATCCCTACATCCCTCATCCCTCCATCCCTTCATCCCAACATCCTCTGCCCGTCAACATTTATATTAATATGCTGTTTATACTAACATTTTAATTCCAGGTATTGTCTGGGGGCCCGTAATCAGCCCACGCAGATCATGCCGGAGACGGAACCCCCACTCTGATTCTCCCACTGCACGGACCACAGCTCGTCCTCCCAGATCATCCCTTCACCCCCCTCATATCATTCACATGTTACTTCAATAAACGTACAAACATCACACTGTTGTGGCGTGGTTCCTGCTAGTGAACTGTTCTTTAAACAAACTATTAGAAAGGACTTTGCTGTGTAAACCCTCCTGTGTTCTTACTCTAAAACTAAGGGCAAAGACAATAAATAATTGAGTTAAAAGCTTTGTGCTTTTTAAATATTCCATTATGAGATTTCTTTGATGTTTTTTCTTAAATAGATATCTTCACAATTGTTTGAAATACATTTGTACCTGGATATAACTGCATATGATAAACTAATGCTGCACTTTTCTTATGTTTTATAATTCAGTATTTTAATTAACGGCAATTTCTCTTTTAAAATAGTTAACAACATATGCGTTAAACAATGACTATTTTCCGTGCCGATGTTCACTTTCCATCATAAGAGGAATAAATGTAAAGGCAAGAGTATAAGTAACAGTTTCTGAAACCTTGAGTTCATCATGATTCACTGAGCAGCAAGGCTTGTCCCCCATTAGAAGATGTCTGTGCTATCCAACCCTAATTTAAAATGTAGCAACTGAACCCACAGCCATTACTATTGCTGTCACACAGGACTAAAGCACCAAGGTCGCTGCTGCAGTACCAAACATCTCATTCTTTTAATATTCTGTGCTGCCTCTCCG